GCAGGAGGAAGCTGTAAATCAAACGCAAGCAACTTTGAAGACTTTGCGGCTGTATGAAGCTCGATTATCTCTGAACGAATTAAACGGTTCATTTTATACACATATGCAATTAATTAAGAAAAGTGATGAGGTGATTTGCAACATGATGAAAAAAAATATGGAAATGTATCATGTTTTATTATTTAAATCATCACAGAACTGTTGTTTTCGAGTTTCATCGATATTTCTCTATGTAACGCGAAAAAATGTACTATATACGAAAATTTAAATTGTAATAAGACTAGGTTCGCAAAGAAAGAGCTGAACAGAAAGGATTACAATCAAGTCAAATGAATAGTTGTATTTCAGGAGAAATATTATCTTGCTGATAGACATTCAATTTCCCTCCCTTCCTGTGAAATAATCAGGTACGAAATGTCTCGGATTACTTGCTTGAAGCGGAATTAAATAGAATCCTAGGTTCACTACCTTCAATATTATTTCAGACATACTTCTCATATTTCACTTTAGCGCAATTAAATGTAGCGATCGATATCATGTTGCTCTGATAGAATAATTATTGCATAAGACACACACACACACACACACACATATTCGGTTTTCACGGCAAAGATTATATTGCACATGTTACATAGGCACAGACAGACTATTAGATAAAGTTCGACTGAAAATTTGATTTCGATTTCGACTAAAAATTGAAGTTTCGATTTTGGCCAATAAAATTGAAAGGGAGTTTCTGTAACGTACCCGAAATTAAGTTGTAAGAATTTATTACTTAAAATTTATATTTCATGTAAAATATTTATTTTCTATAAATCTTCTAAAGACTTTTGTTAAAAAGTCTTTTAAAGATTTCTTTAAAAAATTCATCATTCATGAAATGATGAATCATTAGCCAACTTTTTTTTTCTCAGTGTACATTATACAGATTATAATAATATTAGAAGTTGTGGTATTAACATGATGATGATACATGTGTAATTACTGTTTCAATAAAATTAGGATATTTATGAAGAAGAAATATATAATATACTATATTATACACGCGTCCTTACATACATATGTATGGTCTTTTTAAGATTCCCATAAATATTTCGATTTTTGATCTTAGTTTCGGCAAAATTAGAAAATATTATATCTTTAATTTCAATTTCCAGTCAACAAAAACCATGAGAAACTCATCTTCGGTTTGAACAATTTCTTTTCATTTTTAAGACAGGTAGATAATAATATTTTTCACTCTCGTGTAGTAACTATAATAACATTTCTAAGATTACTTAGATGAAACTGACCCAGTTGATGAGATGATGGTCAATCTTATAAAGCCGAAGCTAAGAGCGAATATATTTTTCAAGAGCTCTTCGAGTAGGGATCGTATTGAAACAGGTGGCGACCGGCTTGCCTTGAACGCGAGACGAAAAATTACACCTGTTCTCTTGAGTTTCGTGATATTTTTATTCCTGCCGAAATCACGAACGAGACGAATTCAACTTTAAGAGTTACTTTCGAGAGCGCCTCGGCATAATAATTTTCAGCCTTATCATACCTATTTCTGCACCTGCGACTTTTTAAGCGTTTTAAAAGCAATTGAAAATTACATCGCGCCGCTAATTACGCATTGTCATAATTATGAATAATGAGAAAGCGATAATAATTATGATATTGCAATAAGCAATGGCAATTATGATTCCATTATGTAGAAAACCTACTACGAGAAGAGCAAAAAGTTAGTATCCGCATCGGCATGCTCGTATGCTTCTTATTGAAGCTACGCTTCTATAATTACCATGATATCGCATCTTACCTAACGAGAGCTTTCCTCCGGAAAGCTCCAAAGATAATCTTCTTACTTGTCGAGGGGAGCCAGTATCCGGCAGATAAGAGAATCCTATATACCGTTGGATTAGATCGCCGTAGAAGCAATAAATCTTGTTATTGTATAGCAACCTGAGAGAATATGTGACTTTCGCGCACACATGTCTTGACTCTCAAATCAAGAATTAAACTGACCGAGTATCATTAATTCAATAAAAATATGAAGTCGACAATCGTGATCCACGCACATTTTCTTTCTTTGAAATTTATAAATAAATAATTGAAGTAAAGTATCAGGCATGTACAATGGTAATTGAGAGTATGAGAAAGAGCGGATACGTCATCGATTCTAAGGGAGTTCTCGCATTTCCACTGTTATGGAAACTGTACGAAACTGTTCAGAAAGTACGCGAAGTTAAAAATACATTTCCGAAATCGAATGATTCGTGTCCGAAGTTACGATCCATTGTGCGCAACCGGATATTTTCTAGGTGCTAACCGCGAGGCAATCCGCAATTAATATCTACCCGAACGACGTGCATTGTTTAGACAAGAGTAATGCTCGTCGCAATAGTCAGGTAAGGAAGTCTAGTTCCACCGATTCAGACAATGGCGCAGCGTGGGATCGCAATAGTACGAACTGTATAATATTATCGTAAAACATCCGTTACCGGTATACCACCGACATTCATTAAATCATGAAAGTATCGATTGCGAAGTATGTCCACGAAACAGCATTATTACTATCATTCTATTTGTATTCGTTTTGTCGCCGAACTTACGCGCATCGCTGTATATACAGTTCGCGCGATTTCACGATGCAGATCACACATTTTAACGATAATAATGCTTCCATTTTTGCGTTATTTCATAACATTGCTATACATATACATGTATGGAATAACTGTTTTAAAGTTTTTCACATATTAACAATAAAGTAGAACAAAGTAGTACTGAAGAAAACGAGCTGAGTGACACATGCGCATTACAGTCAATTAAGACTAAAGTCTTAGCATTTCTCTTACACAGATATTGGCTTCATTTTCAGCCCTCAATACCTCTTTCATTTATATATGTTCTATAAGAGCGCATCTCACTATCACGCACGGGTATTTATGCGAGGGACGTATACTAATCAAATTTGCATTTGCAATTGGATTAACAACTCTGAATTAATTTTTGATTAAAGCATAATTAAACAGCGATTTCGTAACGATGTTAAAATAAGAATTTTATTCTTCAATTTAATGTATCAATTTTTCCTTGAGTTTGAAATTATTATTAAAATTTTTGATTCCTATAAAAAAAAATATATATATACTGTATAAATGTCGAGATAAAAGGATCCTCGAACGGTTACAAAAAAATGAAAGTTTCTTTAGACTTGGTGCAAAAACTTAACAAAAACCGAAGCGCAGTACAAAACTTTTCGAGCAATTGCGAGAGTAATCCAACTCATTGTCGGAACTGTAGTTCCATACTTCCGCAGTGTTTCCGCTTTATTAGATAAGACACGCGCCATGTAACAACGAGTCGCGACCCGAAGAAACTATACGTGATGGTTAATGCATCGGGAATGATGCTTTCGCGCACGATAGGGTAATGTACGCGATATAGTATCGCGCCCCTCGTAAAAGCAGGATGAAGGGAGAAACTGCTGTACGTATTCGAAGCGGCGGAAGTTACCGTCAGCTACCTGACACTCCCCTCGGAGTTTGCGGCAAACTAATTTCGTAAACCTCCTGATAACCCGCGCATTTAATCGATGCCGCCCGCGAAATGAACCTGTCGCACGGATTTTATGGCGTAACACTTAAATCCAGGAAGATGCCAGACGGATAAGAGTAAATCCATCCTCGCCCGCATGCCGCGCCGTCTTGTAAGAGATTCCGATATCCATTTGCAGTGCCTAATGCGATTAATACACAGTCGGAGAAAACTTGTAACGGTTCACTCAAATTTTTAGGTTAATTTATTTAACATAAAATGAATATGCGTGATAGTAACGTAAATATTATGTAAGAAACTAGCATTAAAAAAATATAACATTAATATAATTTCAAAGTATATTTTTTTTAGTGAAATTAACATTTTAATGTGTTAAAATAAGACTTTTTTATTTATCATATTAAAAAATTATTATAAAAATTTTCGTTTTAAAATATTCTCTATTTTTAGTTGTTCATTTATAAATTGTTGTTTTGACATTAAGAAATGAACATCGATTTAACGCAAAATATTCAAAAAATACCTATTTTAATATACAAATATAAAATACTTTTACGAGGGATTGGAAAGTTACTTTTTAAAAGCAAATAATCTATCGGTTATTCGTTATCGAGTCAAAAAGTAACTAACGCTACTATTACTAGTTATAAATTTTCAAAACTCGTTATAACTATCATTACTTAAGAAGTAATCGTTACAACAAAACATTTAAAATCTAGAGAGAGAGATAATATTTAGAATATTTAAACTCAAATTATTTTTAAACTCGAATTGTGTTTGAATAATGTTAGATTTTTTTAACTGATACGAAATATTAAATATAATTTGTAATACCTAATACGCAGCAATATTCTTGATTATTAAATAAAAAATAGAATTCAAATCATATCTGAAAGTAAATATTATCTAAATTTTTCATTTAAATTGATTATAAATGTGAATATGTCAGAAATATCAAATTGAACTATGTCTACTGAACTATATTTATATGTTGAAGTAGATATATCGTGTCTCAAAAGACAGATAAGTACTAGAAACACGATTTCTCTTGTCAAGATGCAGAGTATAAAAGTCATTGATATATACATATGTATATCTATAGTTATGATATACAAATTAGGCTAGGTTATTGGATTGCGTTTTTTGACCGTAATGGAAATGAGTCGTAAGCATCTTGCCGTTGTCAGACGAATAAGAGCGATACAACTAAATTCTGCGATTATAACACTTTTTCTATAAGGTATTGCGATAATTTATTCATACTCCCGTTATAACAGCTGTTATTCGAAAATGATAAACTCTACTGACTGTAAAAAAATATCGTAAATTTTATATAAATGTCTTACAACATCTACATTTAAGACACATAAATAAGATTATAGACTTTTATATAACCCATTTACAAATAAAGATAATCCCCTCTCTCACGTAAATCGCACGGTTTATATAGAAGAAATTTTCAGATTACGACCTTTCAGATTCGTACACGCTGATCGTTAGCAACGAGATTTTCGAAAAAATATTAGAGTGCTGTGAAAGATAGAAATATCGTGTGTACGAAAATGAATCTTAAACTACATTTATTATTTGTGTTTGTTATCGTCATATTAACACACAAGATCATAGCTGAAGAATCAGATCCATCACGTAAGTACACTTCTTTTGAACATGATATTTTTTATTATATTATTTATTGCAATAATTCCTAATTGTAATTCCGAATTTTATTAAAATGTATATATTCCACATAGACTTTTGAGTTAAATACAAAAGAATTGAAATTATTAAATTTAAATTGACAGAGAGATTTGTGCATAATTTAACACACTTATTCCTGTTTATTTTATAGCATGTCTATTGCCTGTGAAAATTGGTCATTGTAGAGCGGCTATACCGAGATATGCATACAATTCAACTTCCGAGCAATGTGAACAATTCAAATATAGTGGCTGTCATGGAAACGCAAATAATTTTGAAAATATAGCTAAGTGCGAAGAGACATGTAAACCTGCAGAGTAACGATCGATGAATAAAAATGCTAAACAACAGATTCTGTAAAGATTTAACAAGACAGTTTTACATTTTACTTTAATAGTAATTGAAATTATATAATTCCAGTAACTTTTATGTAATATAATTAAATGTATATGGTAAGAATGCAAATTAAAAAAGCCTTTATTACTTAATTATTATGTATTTACTATGTGTGCTATCCAATATCCCCAACAGCACATGTCGATTTATATACGGTTAGGAATCGTATATATAAAACGTATATAAACGAACAAGTGCTATACTTGAGATACTTTAACACAAATAAAAAAAATTATATTATATCTTATAATTCCTCACCTTTACCTTTTCTCTTTTTTCTGCTTTTTCTATAATAATATTAAAGTACAAGTATAAAAAATATGTATATTTAACAATTTCTAAAATATTATTATTTGTATAATATTAACCCTTAGTATAAGCGATAACTTTCCGGTCCTTTACTATAAATGATGAGTCAATTCATGTCTGGGTTAATTTTCATCACTTTTTTTATGAGAGTAGGTATATGTGTATATATCTAAGAATATTAAAAGAAATTCCATATATTATATTATATATTTTAATATCCTTAGAAAATATTTATAAGATTGTATATTTATGAATTATGTATAAATGTTATGACTAATTATTTATTATGCTCCTATCTAAAAAAATTCGCAGAATGAAGATGTATATTGTATATGCACTTAAATATATTATAATATTCATTATATCATTATTACCAAATCAGTTAATAGACTTGGCGTATTTTACTCTATATATATATATATATATATATATAAGTATTTAACACATATTTTATATATATATATATATATATATATAAGTATTTAACACATATTCTGATACACTTTGTCTTATTAGTAAATTATTATTATATTACATGAAAACGTATTTAAAATGTTTGAAGTAAACTGGAGAAAGTAATCCCAAATTGAAAGCAAATATTAAATATTATTATATTCCATTTTGATGCCGCAAAATCACGTTATCACAATTTATGGCCATCATTATGTTTTTGATAGAAAAATCATTAGCTTCCGTCAGTGTGCACCTGATCGCTTCCGGCCCTTTCAATTTACAGCGGCAAAGACGATCACTTTGTGATCTGCATAACTTAGAATAACTTCCTGCATGAACGAGATAGACTATAAAGGAAGTTGCTCTAAGTTATGTAGTAGACATAACTTGCTACATATATTGTGAAGCAATTTTATCACGAAGAAAACATCCAACGTAATGTATGAGGAATAATGAAGAATAAAATTATTCGGAGTTCGATCCCCGATCGAGGTAATATTATATTATTCGCAACGAAATTATTTACAGATTTATAATAAATAAATATTAAATTGCTCTAACATCAATAAAAAAATGATAACATTTTTGCAAATATTTCTCTGTTATTATCTCTGTGCCTGTTCTTTGGCTTGTGGTTTCTTACAATAATGCAATATTTGCCGAGAGGGCATTAGTGTACAGACACGTCTCGGATTCGCATTGTACGTATTATTATTTTACATCATACAGCACAGTAAATCCGCAGATACTTGTTTCAAGTAAATGTTAATGTAAATAGTAAATACTATTTGCCTCTCTCTTTTATATTTATACTACGCAAAATACTCATATTTCAAATAATAATTAGATAGATTTTAAATAAATATTTCTATTGAATCTATTTCAAGTATTTTCATACACTGTGTGTGAGAAAAAATATATATTTATATTTATTTTTTATTTCAACTATTTTCCTCAGTAGATCATAGTAGTAATCTGACTTATCGATTCCATTTAAATTACATTAGGCTGGTAAATCAGATTATTATTATGACTTACTAGTTCCTAGAGATCTGAAAAATAATAGAGATAAAAAAAAACATTTTAAAATGGATATTTTTAAGACTTTTTCAAAAGATGTCTTTCAGATTGTTTGAAAAGACGTCTAAAAATTATTCAAGTTTTGAAACATGTGTAACTATTATCGACCGTAAATTATATTTACCTACAAAGAACACATTGAAACGTTTTATAAGATATCACAAAAACGTCTTAAAATTCTGAAACTATCAGAAAAACGTCTGTATATAAAACGTTTATTTAATAACTAAAATAGGAAATAAATAAATATATTTTTTTCAGTGCAGAGAAAATTGAAATAGATTAAACAAAAATATTTATTTAAAGAAGATACATCTATAGAATTAGATTTGAAGTATTTTGTGTAGTAAATATAAAAAAGGCAACAGTATTAGATATTTATTTATTTCAAGTTAATGTTAATGTAAATAAAAATTGTACCATGTAAATAATGAATATATATATGATAAATGTATGAAGATATGATAAGTTTAAATTATCGTTTGATTACGATGCCATTAGTCTCAGAGCCGGTTCGTTCCGTTATTCACCACGATTTGCAAATGCAGAGTGAACGTAATTAAAATTATGAAAAGAGATTTCCTTTTTAATGCGCGGTTATAATTTCACGCGCCAGAAGCGACGCGATGGCAACATGGCGTAGTAACACTGCGCGTCTCACTCTTAACGTTTAAAAAAATTTCCATATTTCGAGATAATATACGCATATGACGTTATTTCGTATTGCAAGTTAAATGTAAAATATGATATTGTAAGTTGATATAATGATGTATCCAAAAATCTATAATTGTCATTTATTTACGCGATACACCTTCGACTGAACAAGTTTCACGAAATGTGCGTTCGAACGAATTATATCAGTATACGAATACTGAATTTATAGTTACACAGCAGTTAAGTATTGAAAAAGAATTAAATATTAATATAGTTTCTCAATTACCGTATTTGATCACGCTGTCACTGATTGTCTCAATGGTCCATCCCGCCATATCTCCTACCCGCCGCGTTCCGCGAATAAATCCGTGAATGCGAACAAAATGGTGAAGCGGCTTCGTCTACGCGGTACGCGGTTAACTTCACGCGCCAAAAACGACGCGCGCGGCGGGGCAGCACGATCGCGCTACACGTCTTGATTTTTGAATATTGCGTTCGACGTTCGACCGAATAATCAATTTACTAGTACTGAATTTTTACATAATGTAGCAACAAGCATGTTCTAAATATTGGCTAGAAAATAGAAACCATATTTTTTTTTTAAACAAATTAGAGAGAGAGAGATTGTAAAGAGAGATCGAACTTAAAGAAACGCTATCAATCGTTTAAAAAATACAAAGCAAAGTTTTAAAAATTATTATAATAAAAGATTAAATAATGCTTATACATATATAGGTTTACCGAAATTTACGATCAATAGTCGTTATTTACAACAGATAAACGAAGGAGAAAAAGTCGTTTATTTGTATTTCAATTCAAATTTTAAAAAGAGAAAAAAGAAAAAATATAAATTATAAATTGTGGATCATTTAAACATTGTTTTTTGCGCAAACATTAAAATATATTTATTATTTAAAGTTCTATAATAAAATTTTTTTAATCAAAATATATTTACAAATATAATTACAAATTATAAAATGAACTAGTACGTATAATTTAGCACAATGTACATGTCATTTTCGGTACCGTGGCGATATCATCGCCAATACGTACTTACATAGTTCCTAAATCATAAATGGATGTATTGGCGCTAGTGTATAGACATTTTTGACGATTCTACGTAAAATGTCGGGATGGCCTCTCTCAAGTTTCTCTCTAATATATCAACGACCGAAGCGCCCGCAGCCCATCGGCGCGTACTGAGCTCGTGAGGTAAAGAAGTTGTTTGAACTGTTCATGATTTGACGCGGCAAGATTGTGGGTGCAGCCTCGATTAAATCATTTTGCGCTCAGATATTGCTGACCAGGAATATATCATATTGCAAGGTACGGATTGCCGCGCGGTGCAGCCCGTGTACCTCGTGGATGACGTTCTCTGCTTACTCCGGGAGCACATAACCCCCCTCGCGGTTCCCCCAGTATACTTGTTTAACAAATAACGAGTTCTGCTGTCCCGCGTCGTTCTCTCACGGTGTTCTCGTAAGTGCGTTCACTCGTGTTCTCGCACCGGCCCTCGTTTCACCCTTGCGCGACGTTCACTGTGATGAACTGTTGTTGTTTACCCGCGAGCCATAACCTATCTTGCCTGCAACAGTGACTGAGGGTCCAGTGCTAGCTGTTATTTCTGATGATACGTAGTCCCCATACGATGCAGACGACATTTCCAGTTTCTCTTGGTCACTAACAGTTTGCAGGCGTTATGTAAGAGGTTGTTTCACCGATTATTCACAAATTTCCAGTGATATGAAGAAGGAAAGACCGTAACAGAAGGAATCTGAAGACAAGAGTAGCCCCGGTGAATGCAGGAATATGCCTTCAGCTACCGGTGTGTACAAGCACGATATTTCATCTCTATTTGCAACGTAAAGAAAATGTAGTAATTGTATATGTGAACTTTGCGGTAATACTGGATAACACTTTATAGATTAAGAGTTACATATACTGGATCAGGAACATTGAAAGTGAAATCTTCATATATCCACTTGATAACTGAAAGACATAAATTATAGGAATATGGAAGGAAAGTAGATAAAGACGAGTCCAAGCGGATAAAAATATAGATGCAATAAAAAGGAGATAGAAGTTTCGTGTGACATTTTGTTAGTACAAAACTATTGAAAAACATGCATTTGTACTGTCAGTACCAGAGAAGATGTACCTTTTACAAAATTTGTGAAGAATACATGTCTGTTTGAAGCTGCAATTCAAAAACAACTCGTTTAAAAAATTTACCGTTAGTTCATTGAGAATGTAATTACTACAAATAAAGAAACCATTTTTGTAGGATGTGCATTATAATTCTTTATACAATATTTTTATAGATATGAATATTTAATTCTGTAAACTTTCAAGGAGACTTTAATTATAAAAATTTCACTTTCATGTTCCTGATACTCAAGTTTTAAGACAGCAATCTATAAAATTAAATGTATACATTCCATATACTTTGTCAAATATTAAGCTAACAACAATTTAATTAAAGAATAAAAAGAGAAGCATTTTGAATATTTTTATTATTTTTTCATATATCTAATATATAATGATATTATTTCTTTTTAGATTATAGTTGTGAAAATTTTCTAGGTGGGACCAACCAAATCGGGCAGCAAAAGGGAGGGGGGAATATGCCCAGTAATGAAGAATGTGGAATCAGAGATGTATGGGGGCACAATCTAGAGGAGGAATTTCGTACAATTCGTCAAGTCGTACAACAATACCAATATATCGCAATGGATACAGAATTTCCAGGTGTTGTAGCTAGGCCTATTGGTAAGAATGCATATTTTTGTAAAAATTCCACATAACGAGATATATCACTTCTGGGAGCATGTGCAAATTGCATATTTTTCATTTGGAACAGGAGAATTCAGAACCAACGCCGACTATCAATATCAACTCTTACGTTGCAATGTAGATCTTCTACGAATAATTCAACTTGGTCTCACATTCCTTGATGAATCGGGGAATACGCCGGGCGGTAGCTATACAACGTGGCAATTTAATTTTAAATTCAACTTACAGTAAGTATATATCATTAACATCTAATCTTTAGTTTAGGATTCATTGAATTACATTCAAAGTTTTTTTAAACTTATTTTTTGTAATTTCGGTGTAATAAGTATACATTTTGTTGTTTACAGTGAAGACATGTATGCGCAGGATAGTATAGATATGCTACAAAACAGTGGTATACAGTTCAAAAAACATGAAGAGGAGGGCATCGATCCTTTAGAATTTGCTGAGCTATTAATGACATCAGGAATTGTTCTCGTTGATGACATAAAATGGCTATCCTTTCATTCTGGCTACGACTTTGGTTACTTACTGAAACTCCTAACGGATCAAAAATTACCACAGGAAGAAAGTGAATTTTTCGAGCTTCTTAGGATATACTTTCCGACGATATATGATGTAAAAGTGAGTTGTTTTGTGTCTAAAAAGAATACAACCAGTTAAGAATAAACGAAATATTAAAAATACGTTTTATTTTTATATTACATAGTACTTAATGAAATCCTGCAAAAACTTGAAAGGCGGTTTACAAGAAGTTGCAGAACAGCTGGAAATTCAAAGAGTAGGTCCTCAGCATCAAGCCGGGTCCGATTCCCTTCTTACTGGAATGGTCTTTTTTAAGATGCGAGAAGTAAGTAAAATTAAATTACTAATTCAATATCAACATTGATAAAAGCGACTAAATTAAATTACTAAATTTTATGTATTTAATAATATATAATTTATCAAATAAAATAATAATATATAGTAATAATATATATTACGTTCTTAGGCGGCATGTGAGTCGAAATTAGGATATAAGATATTTTTAAAATCGTCTTATGTCCTGATTTTGGTCATGCTATCTAGGATTATACGTGAAGTAATTTGCTTTCGACTTCTACTTTAGATGTTTTTCGAAGATAATATTGATGATGCAAAGTATTGTGGACATCTATATGGTTTGGGAACGTCATTTGTCATGAACGGATCTGGCGGATATATGGACAGTAATGGAGATAATGCCTCGACATCGTAATGTTAAAGAAAGAATCAACCGTAACAGAGAGATTATTTCATTACAAATAAAATGTTATAAAAAAGTCTTTTCACTTAATGATGAAGTGTATGGTTCATATCCGCAATATTATATTGACATCATTGCTGTAGGTTCCATTCGCGAAAAACAATTTAGACGTGTCTCTTTAAGATCTCTCTCCTTTTTTTTAATTCTTTTGAATTCTTTCTGTGACTTTTATAGATTTCTTCTGTGATACGTACCATCAATTGAAAAGATTTACAATACCGAACAGCATAAAAAGTGTAATATAATTTTTTGTAAACATTTGGACAATATTGATATAAGATACCGTCGCAGTACAAAAATTCCATAATTTCCCCTACTTTTAAGATCCTTGCAGTATACATATTTACTACTCGAATGATACATGAAGAAAACAAGAAAGTTGCTTAACATACCCAAACCAAACATAATTTACAGCTAAATGTATTAGTAATGTTTGATGTGTTCGACATTTACAGAAATATATCATGAATAACCGATTTTTTTTGCAACTTGTTACTAAGCAGATATACATCTCGTTATCGTATCTAAATAATACGATTAATAATGAAAAGATGTATTTCTCTCTTTTGTTGTAAAAAAAATATTTAATCGTTAAATATGAACTCGTCGAACATTACTGATGCATCCTATACTATGTAGACGTATCTATTACTGTTAATATGTATATTTATTCTATGATGCATTTGTAGCGCGATACACATTTTAAACGCGAAAAATTCGTATATACATTTTTTAAAAAACTGCAATGGAGGGAAGTACATCGTTTTTAGGCTGTCCGCGATTTTAAGTTGAATATATAAAATATATTAATATATAAGAGCATCATACATTTTTATTATGCATATAACGGATACCGTAAGTGATGCATTCATGTAAAAAAATAATACGACTTTAAAGATGAAGTAGCCTTCATATATAATATTTGCTTATATATTGCACGTGTTTTATTGTAAAACCTGTCGTCTGTCTCTCTCTCTCTCTCTCTCT